TGCCAGGCAGGCGCTTTGCCGCTGAGCTAAATCCCCAGCCCCTTGTCTATTTGATTCTTTTGCACATTTAAAAAATATTGTTTTGGTATTTAGTTGGTAAGCTAAATAGTTTAGCTCTTTTGCACATTCTAAAAACAGTGTTGTTTGGAATATATAAATGTTCTGTGTATATTCCTTTTTGAGGTGTTGGGGACAGAACTCAAGCCTTAACTCACAGTAGGCAAGTGCTTCACCATTGAACTACAATACCAACCCATATACTTGATTCTAGATATATCACATAGATTATTTATAAATATGTTCCCTCATTCTGTGGGGTGTCATTTCACTGTCTTTTGGGGTGTACTAAAGTTGGAACTCAGGGCCTTGTGCATGCTAGGCAGGTGCTGCGCCTCTAAGCACTTCGAATTTTATTTTGAGACAGTCTTACTGAGTTGCCCAGGCTGGCCTCGAACTTGCTATCCTCCTGCCTCAGACTCCTGAGCACCTGGCATTACAGGTGTGCACCACCATGTCTGGCTCATTTCACCTTCCTGATAGTGTTTGTGGATGAGCAAGGGTTTTGTATTTTGATGAATTCAAATTTAGTTTTTTCTTTTGCCTGTGGTTTTGGTGTCAAAAAGGGAAACAATTGCCAAATCCAAGGCCATTATTTATTCCTGCTTTGTAAGAGCTTTTTTATAGGTTAGCTCTTACATTTAGATTTTATCTATTCTGTGGTAGGTTTTATAAATGGCCTGAGTTAAGAGCCTATTGTTATTTTTATGGGATGATGTTTTCCCTACTCCGGACTCAGTTATATCAAGATATTGAGCTTTTCTATTTCTTTCTCTATTATTTTCAGTTTCCTATTGTAAAACAATCTCCATTTCACCTATATATTCAAATTTATTGGAATAAAGTTGTTTGTAATATCCTTTTGTTAAATTTTAAATATATGTGCTACTGGTAACAGCATCTCCCTTTTTAGTTATGATTTTGTGTTTTGTTTTGTTTTTTTGGGTTTTTCTCCGGTACCGGGAACCGAACTCACGGCCTTGCACTTGTCAGGCAGGTGCTTTTGCCGCTGAGCTAAGTCCCCAGCCCCTAGTTATGATTTTGTTATTTGTGGTTTCTCTTTTTCTTATCTAATTTTGCCAGTGGCTTATCAGCTTTGCTGGTGTTTTTAATTTTTTTGTGTGTGGGTACCGGGAATTGAACTCAGAACCTCATGCTTGCCAGGAAGGCGCTGTGCCACTGACCTATATCCCCGAACCCTTATTGGTGTTTTTAAACACAAATCACTACTAAATAAGTGATGGAACAATGCCAGTCTATTCTCTTCTAGGTACTGGTGTTCTAGACTGGAGGTGACAAATGTATGACGTGCGTGCCAAAGCAGGCTGCTTGTATCATTGAAAGTCCTAAAAGGCTGACCATCACCGTTCTAGACCAAAACCTTGATAATAGCTTTACACGCACATGCACGCACACGCACGCACACGCACACACATGCACACGTGCACACACACATGCACACACACAGAGTTTATCTTTAAAATACCATAGAACATTTTTAAAAGTTTATCTAGGTACCATAGATTTCATAATTTAAAAGTTAGACAAAGAAAAGCTATCCATATTAATCTCTGATGCTGTAAAGTGAACAATTTCAATCTACAAGAGATAGACCTCCATCAGGACAGTTTTTCACTTTGTCATTTTTAATTATAAAACATTTCTGACAAAAAATGTTAAAACTATAATAATTAACAACCTAGTACCTACATCTGAGATTAAGAAATAAAACAGCATTGTCATCGTATCACTTTCTGCCTGCATTTGCTCTCTGCCTAGTTGCAGATTTGGTGGTTACTCTTGCAATTTGCACCTTTGCAATTTTATATATCCCTGAACAATATGTAGAATCATTTCTCACCTTTAAAGTACTGTATGGGGCTGGAGATTTAGCTCAGCGGCAAAAGCGCTTGCCTGGCAAGCGCAAGGTCATGAGTTCGGTTCCTGGTACCGGAGAAAAACCAAAAAAAAAAAAAAAAAAAAAAGTACTGTATGAATGGTAGCAAAGAGTATGTGTCCTTCCACAGCTGTTTTTGCTAAACGTTATTCATTTGGTAAATATTTTTGAGTGCCGACTATCTGCTAGGGTTATATCAATGAACAGTGAAAGTTTTCTTCTCTTGTGGAGATTCATTCTAATGGGGGAAAGATAGATAATTAATAATTACATAATATTTTAGTACCTGAAATGGTGTTAAGGGCTATGAAGATGAATCATTAGGAAAAGAACATAGGCTGGGTTGCAATGCTAAACATGGTGGGCAGGCAAGACTTCAACATTACAAATTTTAAAATGTTTTATTTTAAAATAATCACTTGTTTATAGGAAGTTACAAAGACAGTGCAGAGAGTTATAGTTAGCCTCCATCCAGTTATTCCTGGTTAGTTAAGAAAGCAGCAATGGGGCTGGGGATTTAGCTCAGCGGCAAAGTGCCTGCCTGGCAAGCGCAAGGTCATGAGTTCGATTCCTGGTATCGGCAGAAAAACAAAACAAAACAAACAAACAAAAAAGAAAGCAGCAATGGTACATTGTGTGTGCATCGTGACACGCCATTTTCTCACATCTACAATTCCTGTAATACAAGGATATCAGCTCCACCATCCCTAACCCCTGACAACCATTAATCCGTTAACCTTGGAAGTACTTCACTTGTAGGTACCTGTGTCTCTCCTCATATAGCCATTTTCTCTGTGGGTTGGTGTCAAAATTTGCCTTTTTTGAGGACACCGTTCATATTGGAGTAAGGCCCACCCTAATGGCTTCATCTTAACTAGTAATCTTTCCTTTTCCCCATTTCCAATTAAAGTGACATGCAGGGGACCGGGGTTTAGGACTTGAGCACATCGTTCGGAGGGTGTATAGTTCAACTTACAACAGTGCCGTCCTTACCGCATCATATGAAGGATACATGTTATCAGTGTAGTTTATGGTTGTTCATGAACGCTATGACTTGGGCCCATTTGAACCAGAGCCTGTTCAGAACTATTCTGGTCTGCTTTGTTCAGCTGGTTCCCCTCCTGCTTGATCCTGTTGATTGTGCCTGTGGGGTGGAGTGCACTTTTTGAGGCCTAGGCCTGCTAGGTGGAGTAAAGGAGATTCTGGGCATGGGGCAGTGAGGACTTCCCTATGCCAGTTCCCTGCTCTGGTCAGTGACAGTGGACCTCCTGCTTGATCCCTGCTGATGTTGCTTGAGAGGGTGGAAGGAGGTTTCCTCGGCTTCCCTGGGCTGCTAGTTGGTAGGACGAGGATACTGGGCCAGTGAGATAGAGGATATTTGGCCTGCTCTCCAAGTCACCTGGTACTAATGGCTTCTTAATCTCTACAGTGCCACTGAGAGAAGCACCTACCTGGGCTGCCTTCTGCTGCTCATGGTAGCGGGGGAAGGTCAGCAGACATTAGGCATGGGTCACCGTGTGGGCTGGGAATCTACACATGGCTTAGCTGCATCTTCTGCTTCTGGGTCTCAGGCCCTAATCATGGGGTCAGCTGGAAATGAGGTCTCATCTGAAAACTTGACTGGGGAAAGATTTACTTCCAAGCTCACTTAATGTGGTTGTTAGCAGTGCTCAGCTCTTTCAAGGATGGACTGGGAGCCTCAGTCCCCTTTCTGGTCCTTGGCTGGAGGCTGCCCTCGCTTTTCTTGCTACGTGGACCTATCTAGTATGGCAGCTTCCTGCATCAAAGGTAGCAAGAAAAGGTCTACATGTAAGACAGAAGCCTCAATCTTATGCAACCTAGTCATGAAAGTGACATTTCGTATTCTATTGATTGGAAGCAAGTCACCACGGATGCCAGGAGAAATGGGTCAGAGTAGATCTGTCTACCATAGTTATCATCAACATTCCTTACAGTTATGGCCAATGGTACTTAGCATTTAAAGACGATTTTCTAATCATTAGATTTTGTTCTATAAAAGGGGATAAAAATAATTCATTTTGTCTTCAGAACTTCCAGTTGTTACAACCATACTGTAAGGCTCCCCTAAGTTTATGAGATTATTTATGGCATAGTTGTGATGACTGCATATTTTTACAGAGGTGGCTCATACTTTTTCTGAGCAACTGTAGCACTTTTAAACTAGCAAAGGGAATGTTTGTGAATACTCTTATCTCCCTTGCTAGGCTGTAGGCTCCTTGAGGACAAATTATGTTTTGCCATTTTCCTATCTGAGCAAAGCCAAAGGAGTACCTTCCCCATGGAGTTCAGTTAATGTCTATTTTTTAAAAAAAACACACTTATAGCATTTTCAAAAACATGAAAGTAGGGCTGGGTATGTACCTCAATGGTATAGCACCTGCCTGGAAAGTGTGAGGCCCTGGGTTTGATTCCCAGTCCAAAAAAACCCAAAAAAGTGATATCTATCTTTAGAGGGATAAGGGCAAGCTACATATTTGGTGGAATGTCTTTTTTTTTTTTTTTTTTTTTTTTTTGAGATAGGGTCTCACTATGCAGTTCAGGCTGGCCCTGAGCTCACTTTGTAGCTCAGGCTGGTCTCGCGCTCACAACGATCCTCCTGCCTCAGCCTCCTGAGTGCTGGGATTATAGGCGTGTGCCACCACGCCCGGCTAGTGGAATGCCTTTAGTTCACCAAGTTCAGTCACATGCTAGATTGAATACTGATTGAGGAGTTTAATTACAAGCAATATATATATATATATATATATATATATATCAACACTGAAAAACAGTAAATACCTTATGAACAAGTTGATGAATATTGTTTTTCCCCTTACATATACATCCCTTTGATAATTCATGTGTGTGTGTGTTTGTGTGATTTTCATGAACAAGAGTCTGTGTGTTTCTTCATAAAAATAATTTTATATCTCCCAAAGTGTTTCTACATTATTTCTACATTGCATTACGTTAGATAAGTAATATCACATTAAATTATAATCCATTTATTCTTAATCCAACCTTGGTAGAATGAGATAATTGAACATTGCAAGGAGAAAAACATTTATTTTGGAAAAGGTACATCTCTTAAGTTTCTTTAAAAAACTGGAAAATTTCTCATTTTATATTTGAGAAATTACTGTGATTCACTTGTTAGTCGATAAACCGAGTAGTACAACCATCAAGACATTTTTGATTGCCACACTATCTTAACATGTTTAATTTGTGGAGGAGTTTCAAAATTTGGATCCCAGTTGTATTCTGGTGATAACAGCTTAGTGGGTTTATGGTCAAAAAAGTACTTGTTTAGGTGGCTTTCATAGAGGCTGGTGAGTTTATTTGCAGTGTCACGCATATTTCCGTCTAAGTATTGTTTAATGAGGGTTGAAATCTCCAGGGGTGTACCACCTAAAATGGCAGGATGGTAATAGAAATCTCCCTCTCCAAAGGGGATGAAAGCTGCTGAGTTTGCTCTTCTCTCATATGAAAAATTGTGAGTTTTTTTAAAATACCACCTTGCATCAATTTGAGCTACAGACCTGCCGAGGGTTTCCACTCCAAAGTCATATTTAAATATTTGATTTGTCGTCATGATGAAGAGAAAGTTGACTTCGTACTGGATGTCATCTTTAAGGAATTCATACAATCTGTTCATATAGTTGAGATAAGAGGCTTGTCCCGTGTCAGGCTGCAATAGAGGGAGCACTTTAAATGTTCGGCGGGGTCCCAGCTCTACGTAAGGTAGCTTGTTGAAATCATCCATCAGGATGTAAATGATAACTCTGTAGCCAGCCATAAAGTGCTGATCAGCGGATTTTAAAAACTGTTTCAGATACTGAGCTCTAAATCTGTGAAACAGAGAAAAAAACAGAAATAAGTTATTTTGCTAAAGTTTATCCTCACTAGGAAGCTAGCTAATATATATTAATAATGGTCAAGAAGGTAAGGGCAGAGAAGTGGGTCCAGAGCTGAACCATAAAGTTTGTTGTAAAGAGGGAGAAAGAGAGCGAAATAGATTTTTTATCTGTACTGGGAATCAAACTCCTAACCTTGTGCTTGCCAGGCAGGCACTTGTGCCACTGAGCGGTACCCCCAGGCTTGCTAAATGGATACTAACAAGAGCATTCCCAAGTAGTATTAAGGACTCAGCCAGGGCTGGAGAAAATAACCACTACACATAGTTACACAAGACAGCCAGAAATAATGACAGTGATGAATTATTATTAGCTCCTTGGATTAGAAATACACAAGAGATTGTGTGGATTTTTCAAAATAAAGAAGGACAAATATCAATATCACCTACTTTCCGTAAGCACATACAGCTAGGCCTATGGTAATATTCAGCTTCTTATAATATTCGTCCAAGATCTGTCTATCATAAGTTCCTTCCCATATGACTGGAGCAAGCCAGTCAGTTGTGGTTATAACGTCAGGACGTTTTCTGTTGAACAAAGGAGATATAAATTGAGCAGATATCTTAACAAGGACAGTAGAAATTGTCCAAGTGATAAGAACTAGTGACTGTAGAGTACTTCTATCAGCCAGGCACTGTGTTTGAGTGATTCCATAACCCAAAATCCTTGCAACATCCTATAAGGTAAATACGGCTGTTATCCTTGTTTTTCATATGAGAGAAAATGGGCAGAGGCTGAATAAATTGCTTAGTGTCACACAGCTAATAAATGGCAGAGTCAAGATTCAAGATTCAGCCATCTGGCTTCAGACTGTACACCATACTTTCTTCTGAGCCCGGGCATTATTTTCTTTGAGCTTTGACTACAATTTAAATTTAGGTAGTCTAGTGTCTGAACATTTCTGTGTTTATTTCCTAAAGCTAACAGTACAGTTATTTAAAAACTCTTTCTATACTTAGAATTTATAAGCATACGCTTCTATTTAAATCACAGATCTCAAAATCCACCTTAAACTGGCCAGGTGTCTCCTTGTCAAGGCATGCTACACCCAAGAATGGTATCTATTTGAGAAGATTAAAGGATTTGATGATTATCCGTCTTCGCTCATTAAATCAGATTAAAGGCTTGCCGCAGGAATGAAAGGGAAAAAGTCTCTGAAAGCAGAAGGCAATTAAAAAACTGTGTTAAGAAATTGTTGAATAAAAGAAGTAAAAGCGACTTAAAGTCGTTAGATTTATAATTTAGATATGCAGCTCTTCACTTGGGAGGTTAATGCCAACCGGAGGACATCCTCTACAAAACAGGCCTTCAGAAGTCCTATGGACAAGATGACTTATCTTTTGGATGTGAGCCAGAACTTTCTTTGGTCACCTTCAGTGCCAGCTCACTGAGTCTACATACAAAGTGGCCCTGGCTATAGGGGTGAAGATTGTGGTATAGGCCTAGTGACATAGACGCCTCCTTCTTAGGTTGAGCTATGTAGTCAGGGCTGAGTGCCCAGTCTCCTCCAGCATGGACCAACTCTGAACCCTAAACTGTACAACTGCTTCCCAGGAGGACCGGCCAGCCATATGATAGCTGACTGATAATATTAGACTCCACTATGAATGGGGCAACACTTTTTCCTTGAAGTTGTTCTATAGCCCGTATGGATTTGCTTTCCTCGGCTTGAAGAATATCTTATTCATTGTCAGGGAATCACATACACATCTCACTATGGTGAAAGGGGTGTGGCCATTGGCTCACTTCCATGAAATTTTTTGGTCTTACTATGTGCCTCACTGTCAAGAGGCAGTTGGCTTGATAAAGAGAGAAATGGCCAGCGGAATCTCAGATTCAGTGCTGGTTCAGAGGTAATTCTCGGAAAGTTTGAGGTATAGTCCACGGGATGCCACCCATTCTTTGAATCAGCGACCAATATGAGATGCCATTTCTTCCAAAGCTAAAATACAGAGTCTAGGTGAATGAGGGAGGGGGTTGTTGGTGATTACATCTAAAAACTCACTTAGGGCATGTCTGTCTACAATGGTTGTGGTTTTGGGTTCCGTGGCTTTGGAGTTCCTAGTTGCTAAGAGAAGAATTCTTCTTTTAGAGAACAAGCTCACAGTTCTATGAAACAAGTCATAACAAGTCATTTGGCATTTCTCATGCTGCTGAACTAGAGAGCAGAATAGCATGATGGTACTGGCTAGAATGGCAGCTTCTCATCACCAAGGGAATATTAAGTTGCTGTTGCACAAGTGATGATGAGAACCTAAGGAACTTCTGAGGTGCCTGTAGCACTCCCATTTACAGTAGGAATGGTTGGTGGGCAGTTGTATCAATTCAATAAGGCAGAACCACTGAAGGACTCAGTCTTCAGTAATGGAGATGTGGGCCATGTTATCAAGTAAAAACTGTGGTCATCAGATGTGGCTATCAAAGGTGAGTTCAAGGAAACCACGAAGCTGATTATCTACCTCCTTTGATCATCAGCCTCTTCATAGGGGAAAGACTATATCAATGATTTATTATGCTAATTAGTTCTCCTCTTTCCCTGCTACCTTTTATGAAGAGCTCCAGTTTATATTTCAGGTGGGCATGTAACAAGGGTTATCACCCCATGATCATACAGAAATTGATGGAACTTGGGTTTCTCCTGTTTTGGGATGCAAGCTTCTTCACCTAAGTGAAGTATGAGAAATGAGGCTTAGTGTCAGAAGGGTAGGATTGTGCTAGTTATAGCCATTTACCTTCTCCTTATCTCTCCTCACCCCTTCTTTGCTTGGCTATATGCTCTGGGTACAGACTGGTCACCCAAAGTCCTCTGATCTGTGGTTTCCAGTGGGTTCTGCTATGAGAGGAACCAGTGTAAGACTGGAGGGCAGGAAGAACTTTCTAGTTTTGTAGAGACTTTGACAGTGGCTGTGTCCTTCTATGACTACAGCCTCTATTGGGTGGCTCTTGTTTCATGGTTCCAGCAATTCCTGGTCTGGAACACCATTCCCTCCTTTGCCCTATATGAATGATCAGAGATTTCTGTTGTTTTGAGTCCCTTGGGTGCCCCCTCCGTGTCCTTTTTCGGGTCTCTAAACACTGCCAGGATCTCCACAGACAACCTCAGCATTAAACTTACGGCATCTCACATGAGTTATTTCTTTCCTACTCTGATGTGTAGCATCTGAGAAGATTAGAAAGCAACACTCAAGGCCTGAGCAGATGGGGTTCACAGGACCTGATCACAAAGCATAAATTTCCCAATGCAAATTCTCAGAAAGAGGGTGTACAGATAAAATGTTAAAGTCTCATGGTAGTATAGAGATTCACACATGTGACATAGAAACAGGCATAACAGATAAAGGAAGGACATAGTGTATGTGGCCCCAGATAGCAGACACACTCTTAGTAGATGAGAATAAGTATTGAGGTGAAGTTGCAGTTTCAACTCTAGAAGGTATTAGTAAGGTTTGTTAAAATGTGAACCACAATAATAATGTGAGTGGGGGGGTGTAATTTTTTCAAAAAAATGTATCTAGAGAGAAAGGGGGAACTCCTTATGTAAGTCAAGGCTATATTGACCTGTATTTACATCCAGGGAACTGCATGAATCTAAAAGGGATAAAAAATAGAAGTGGTAGAGTGAAACTATACCATACAATGTAAGGCTCATAGTAGAATAATATTAGAAAATATGTATGGTATATGCTATTCACACCTACTCTGGTTCTGTCAGGCTGTAATTTCTCCTCCTCCTGTCTTCCTGGCTGGATCACCACATTAGTGGCCTAGTTTGTGTCACTTCTTTCTCTGTATTTACATAATTTTATAAATAATATGAGTATAACACACACACATACGTATCCACCTAGGCTTTAAAAGCCTTGCTTATTTTACAATAATGAGATAGTACATACATTTTTGCATCTTCTTTTTTTACTCAGCAGTACCTTATGAAAATCCTTCCAGTTTATCTGGAATAACTCATGTGCACTCTTTTTTAATAACTGTATAATATTCTAGGTGACAAATTTGTTTGCCATTTCCTTACTAATGGACGTTGACTATATCTCTGGATGTTTTGTCACTATGAAAAATGATGTAATAAACTTTCTCAATCTATTCTGATTTTTTTTTGTCTTTTTTTGAGACAGGGTCTCACTCTGCAGTTCAGGCTGGCCTTGAGCTCATTTTGTAGCCCAGGCTGGCCTTGAACTCGCAATGATCCTCCTGCCTCAGCCTCCCCAGTGCTTGGATTACAGGTGTGTACCACCATGCCCGGCTTTTAACTTTCTCAATCTGTATCCTCATATAATGACCCTGTTATTTTTACTATATATATTAGGAGTAAGATTATTGGGTCTAAAAGGTATACATATGTATATACATATGTATATATTATTAGGGATAGAACCCAGGGCCACTTTACCACTGAGCCATCCCCTCCCCACTTTGAGACAGGGTCCCTCTAAGTTGTCCAGGCTGAACTGGAACTTACAGTCTTCTTGCCTCAGCTTCCCAAGTTGTTGAAATTGTATACAACCACCACTGTGTCCAGTTTATTTATTATTTGAAGAGAAATCTTGCAATGTGATCCAGGCTGGCCTTGAATTTGTAATCCTCCTGCTTCAAGCTCCCAATTGGCTAGAATTACAGAGTATACCACCACTCAGGTGTATTTTTCATCTTTAATAGCTATTACCCAATTGTTTTTTGAAAGACTGTAATATTCACATTTCCACCAGTATTTGTCCTAGTTCTAGATTTTTAAAATTCTACTTGGATACGTATAAAAGCATATTCTCATATTATTTTACATTTCTCTGATTTCCAGTGAATTTGAGTATGTTTTCATGCTCCAGAAAGTGGCAAGAACAATAGGATAGGGGTGTTCAAAGTGAACCTTTTGAGGGGGATTAATGACAATGTATCTTTTACTGTAATAAACTTTTAAATTAAAACATTCACTGTATATTTTGACCATGCCTTGTATTTTATAAATCAATAGACAGTGCATACAAATAATTCATCAGAAATGGGAAATATATATCACCACATTTCACTGACGAAGAAGTACATGTGACCAGTCAATACACGAAGAAACCTTTTACTGCTTTGGTGATTAAAGAAATTTAGAAGACTACAAAGGGCAAAATATTCCTTCCCATTGTGTAGGCAATGTTGAGTACCAGAGAGCATGCACAGCAACAAGATCTATTATTTGCTATGAAAATTTAAATTGGTGGATCCACTTTAGAAAATAATATTGGCCCTGTCTCACAGGTTGAACAATCATATACCTTACCACTCAGAGGTTACATACATCTCTACCCCAAGAGCCTGCATAAGTTACTGCAGTACTGTTCATGCTAGCACAAACCTGGAAACAGTTCCAATGCCCATTTACAGGGCAGTAGCAAAATACAATGTGGCATATTTGTGCAGTTAATTATTATGCAGCCACCTCAGTGAATTAGGTGATATGTGATTTCTGAATGAATTTTAGCAATTTAATACTAAGGGGGAAAATAAATCCCCAAAGACTATATGCAGTGTGATATTCCTTTTCTAAAGGGGGTACACATTTATATTTATATTTTAAAAAGAAAGCAAGGGGCTGATGAACAAAGGTTCAGGGTAGTGGTTTGTTCAGGGAGTCAAATGTGATTTTTTTTTTTTTTTGTCTTTTTGAGACAGGGTCTTGCTATACAGCTCAGGCTGGCCTTCAGCTCACTTTGTAGCCCAGGCTGGCCTCAAACTCGCAAGGATTCTCCTGCCTCAGCCTCCCAAGTGCTGGAATTATAGGCGTGTGCTACCACGCCCGGCTCAGGGGGTCAAATGAAGATAGAACAAGAATATGAGAAGTGAGGCAAAGCTAGTTGTTAAAGTTAATGAAAGTTGTAATCTTTATTCCAGTAGAATAAAAAAGAAAGCAAGAAGAAATAATATATAGGTTTTGCGTGAACCAATGATGACATGTATCATGAACTAAGGATTATTTCTGTAACTCTGTCCACCTGTATTCATTAGAGATGCAAACATGAAAAAATTACAAAGGATGAAATACAAATTAATACTAAATATACAAAAAGATGCTCAAACTCAGTAACAATTGAGGAATGAAAATTGAATTACCTTGTGTGGGGGGCTGGATATTGCAGATTGAATCCAGGGAATGCTGAGTTAAATTTTCAACTCTTTAAAATTTTGTGTTTTTTGTTTAATTTTTAAAAATTTCATTAGTACATGTTTGCAGCACACAATGTTTATATTATTTTTAGGGAGTGGGTTTTTGCTTTGTTCTGACAAGGTTTGCTAAATTACCTAGGATAATCTCGAACTTGCGATCCTCCTGCCTTACCCCCCGAGTGGCAGGGATTGCAAGGTGTGTGTCACCACATCAAGCTTGAATTAAGATAGTTTAACAGTTTTGGCAATAATAAAATGTTTGGCCTTACTAGACTATTATCAAGTAAGTAAATGAAATAAAAAATAAAGGAAATATTAATAACACTTCTCCACTGCAAATTAGAAAATAAATTGTACAATTATTAAAGGGAAATTGAATTAACAGCCTAAAAGAACAACCTGAATAAAAAAATTAAAATTTATATCCTTTTAACTAATGGCACTTCCCTAGGAGTTTATCCTATAGATAAATTCATACAGTGATATAAAATATTAAAACAAGAATACTTGCTGGAAAATTATTTACAATGATCCCCACATTGTGAAAATTACAAAGCCAGTAGGAGAGTGGCTAAGTAAAATAAAGTGCTATACAGTTATAAAATTGAATAATGTATAACCATAGAAAGAATAAAGTTCTCATGCCGGGTGTGGTGGCACACGCCTGTAATCCCAGCACTCGGGAGGCTGAGGCAGGAGGATCTTTGTGAGTTCGAGACCAGGCTGTGCTACAAAGTGAGCTGAAGGCCAGCCTGAACTGCATAGCGAGACCCTGTCTCAAAAAGACAAAAAGAAAAACAAAGAAGAAAAAAGTTCTCTGCTGAGTGTCAATGCCAAAGTCAAGAGGGGCCATAAATAGCCATCAGGCTGCATGTAAAGACATTTTTGTTTCTTCTAATAATACAGGGAATGTTAAATCAGACAGAGTGTGACAGTTTTCTAATTACAACACTTAATTGCCTGACTCTTGATATATAGATACTAGATTTTTATGTAAGAGCCTTACAAGTAAAAACTTTTAAGTAACAGAAACTTCCCAGTATATCCACAATTTGATGACAAAACAAAACAAAACAAAACAAAACCCTTAAGACTGAGCTATATTATTCTTCTGAGAGCAGAAGTTTTGTTCTTACTTAGGATTAAACCAGGCTGTGAGCTGAGGTTCTTCCACTTGATTGTTCCTTGGAACAAAGACAAAAATCACATAATTAATTAATGTAGTTAATTAAATAATTAAATATTTGCTGAGCTCCTGTAATATGACAGGCAGAGTTTTGTGCTAGTTCTTCAACCATGAGCATTTAAACCTCGCTCCTGCCTGCAGGAAGCTTACGGAATAGCAGGAAACATAATATAATATAGACAATCACAGCATCTGTCTATTGTACGTGCTAATAGAGAAAAGCAGACCTCTGTGGGATGATGTAGGTGGGGCATCTCACATCACTTTGGGGTTAAGGGAAATCCTTTAGAGAAGAAATACATAAATTGGGTCTGGAAGGATAAGGGTTTGTCCAGGAAATATGTATGCTAAAGAAGTCACGGATGGCAGGAAATCGAGGAGGAGTATGTTTCTTGGGGAAGGGCTACATTTTATTTATTTATTTATTTATTTTAGTCTTTTTGAGACAGGGTCTCGCTATGCAGTTCAGGCTGGCCTTGAGCTCACTTTGTAGCCCAGGCTGGTCTCGAACTCGAAACGATTCTCCTGCCTCAGCCTCCTGAGGGCTGGGATTACAGGCATGTGTCACCACACCTGGCACAAGGAAGGGTTATATTTGAAAAATTAACAGGCCAACAGAAAGATTAATATTCAGGAAAAAGTGCTGATTTACTTCATTCATTAATCAGTTATTAGTAGCTTACTGTGTGATGGGTACGTTGTTGTGTGTCAAAATACTTAAGCTAAAGTACAAGTACAGGTGTTTGATTTTAATTTAAAGATAGGCTTCTACCAAAGTTTCATTTTACTGTTCATGCAATTATTCAACTAACACTTTATCAGTCAACTTCCTTTTCACAAACCTGGGATATTTTGTAAAATAAGTACTGGAAGCAACTGTGCTTCTGAAAAACAAAATGGAGTGGTTTTAATTTTCCCTACTTCTCCCACAAGAAGTCCTGGACGTTATATATAAAACAAACAGAGAAGACACTGAATAGTAGAGAGAAGAAGGCAGATAACTTAGGGACCTAGGGATCTAAGGGGATCAATATGGCAGTGGGTTCCCTGAGTTATTCTGCTGCTATATATTCCAGTAACCTAGAAATGCCACTGGGCACCGTCACCAAAAGTGCCCCAAGAAAAGCCTGATCTTTTTAGTTAAACTAAAACAGAAAAAGAGTAACCTAGAAAGCCAAAAAACTCTTAGATCCTAACTATTCTCCAGCCAAGTTCCACAGAAAAACTGTGACTTCCTCCTCTACTCTCTCTTCAGCAAATGTCAGTAGAGTCTCAACTTTCACCCTTGCCGGATGGTAATGAGGATCCCCTCACCTCAGAAATTTAGGCCATCCCTGTCTAAGGTGTATTCAACATGACGTGGGGGAGCTGGGGATTTAGCTCAGTGGCACAGTGCCTGCCTGGCAAGCGCAAGGTCATGAGTTCGATTCCTGATACTGGAAGAAAAACAAAAACAAAATAAACAATAAAACCATGACGTGGGACCATGAACTCCCATCTCTGCTCATCAGTAACAAAAAACACTCCACTGCCAAACCCCTACTCCTGGTTTCTATGGAGGCAAAGTAGAGAACCTGGAACTTCACCACCAACTGATGGTTGTGAGACAGTTCCATCACATTTCCCAACTGAAGCAGTATCAGAAGACAGTTGAGAGAACAGAGGATTTGAGGATCTACAGTCATAACATAATACCCAAGATTGCCAGGTTTCAACTATAAAAGCATTTATTGTGTCATGAAGGAGAAAGAGCTCAACTTGAAAGAGAAAAGGAAATCTAAAAATGCCAATATAATGCAGACCCCAAGAGGGACTTTAAAGAGGGTACTGTGAAAGTTTCAGGGAGCACTTACAAATGTGAAAAATAGAAACTCACAGCAAAGATATAGAAAATGTAAACAAGGACCAAATGAAAACTTTGAAAGATAAACACACAAAAATTAAAGTATCTGAATGGACAGACTCAACAGGAGGATGGAGAAGAGAGAGGAAAGAATCAGTGAAGCTGAAGATAAAACAATAAAAATTAATTGGCTTGATCAATAGAGAAAAATCTTTAAAAAAAAAACAACAAAAACAGCATTAGGACAAGTGGGGCCATAAGGAAAGATCTAGCATTCATATAATTGGAGTCTCCAAAGTAGAGGAGAAAGAGAACGGGGCTGAAAAAGTGTAAAAATCGTGACTGAAAATTCTCCAAATTTTGCAAAAGACAAACAGATCTAAGAAGTGCAGTAAACCCCACACAAGATCAACCCAAAGATATCCACACCAATGCATGTGATAGTCAAATTTCTGAAAGTTAAAGATTAAAAAGTCGTGAAGGCAGCCCGAGAGAAATAACCCATTACTTATAAGGGCAAAACAATTTCAAAGTAAGTGGGTTCTCATCAGGAATTCTTGTCAGGAGGCCAAAAGGAAGCGGCACAATATCTTCCAGGTATTTTAAGAAGATGACCATCAATCAAAATGTCCCTGGTTGAACAAATTTTCACGCACCTATTTGTGGAATACTACACTATAATCAGTAAGAGTGAACTGTTGATAAGCACAGGAATCTGCTTGGATCTCAAGGGGATTATGCTGAGTGAAAAATCTCTACCAGTAGGTCACTTATTATAAAACCCCATTAACAAAACATCCACAAAGTGACAAAATTGTATCCATGTCCATATCTATCTATAATCCTGCCTCGGTGTGAATTTCCCTAATTTGATTATTATTACTTCTGCAATTATGTAAGATGTAACATTGGGGGAAGTGGGTGGATAGTATACACGATCTACGATCTCTTTGCAACATCCTGTAATCTATAATTATTTTGAAATAAAATGATTAAAAAAAGGAATGCATCCCTTTGAGATATTTTCAGAGAGATCATTAGTCAACACCTTTTGTTATGGGATTCTCCAGGGATCCCAAACTGTCCACGACTGCCAGGCATGGGGGCACATGCCTGTAATTCCAGCACTCGGGAGGCTGAGGCAGGAGGATCATTGTGAGTTCGAGGCCAGCCTGGGCTACAAAGTGAGCTCAAGGCCAGCCTGAACTGCATAGCAAGACCCTGTCTCAAAAAGACAGTAAACAAAACAAAACCAAATTGTCCATGACTAACATTAATTAAACATACACAGTGACTGAGAACTTGTAAAACATTCTTTTGGGAGTTTTCACTAATTGTGGGATCCTCTACAATGAAACCATGGTTGCCTCAAGCTAACAATCATAATCTAAAAAATATTGTGCTGCATAGACACCTATAGTCAGTGTCAAAAACTTGTCCAGTATAAGCAAGTGTATAAAGTGGGCAAACTTTGGAGATATATACCCATACAAACTCATATATGTGTATGTATGCATAGGCCTAGAGTCCTTCTGGGGTGATACCCAGGGATGTGTCAATGTGTCATGCTGACTCTAGGCATTCAGTCTGGTCTTCTGATTCCTCTGTTCATCATGGTTGGAAGACGTCTTGGCTCCAGCTACTTTGCCCTGAGTAGTTTGTAGAAGAGCCATAGGATTCTTACCAGCAGACGTACATCTCCTGTAGGTGATTCTTTATGCTTTAAATAAATGGGGAAAAAAGTCATTTTGGTTTTGACAAAAATTTTCTATTACCACAAAAATCTAGAATTCAAATTCATCTGTACACTCATTTGTTAACCAGAACACATTAAATGTGTACTATATGCCAGATATAATGGTATAGTTAAGGAGTGAATGACAAAGCCAGGCCTGGCATTAGTCTATGATCTATTTCTTACTTCCAAAAAACTAACATATAACATCTTAGTATCTTCAAAAAGATGACATTGCCAGGTGTGGTGGAACACACCTGTAATCTCAGCATTCTGCTAGGTTGATGCAGAATTACAGATTTGAGCCTACCTACAACTAGGGATGTGGTTCAGTGTGAACCCCCCCCCACACACACACATGAACCACATTAATACTATTACAGCTGGGCTGGGCCTGGTGGCACATGCCTGTAATCCTAGCCCTTGAGAGGTTAAGGCAGAAGGGTAACTGAGAGGTCAAGGCCAGTTTGGGCTACACAGTGAGTCTAAGGTCAGCCAGAACTACATAGTGAAACCCTGTTTTAAAAAAATGAAGAGAAAAGAAAATATAAAGCCAGGCATGATAGTGCATGCCTGTGATCCCAGCACTTGGGAGGCTGAGGCAGTAGGATTGCTGCAGACCAGCCTGGTCTATGTAGTGAGTTTAGGCCCAGCCTGAACTACGGAGCAAAACTCATCTCAACAAACAACAACAAACAACTGTTACAATTGGCCCTGAATCTTTCTCATTAAAATACAATACCTGAGGGCAGATAACTGTAGAACACACTAACAAAGCAATAGGGTTAAACTTAAAACACATTAACTCACAACTGCTTTTCAAATAGCATTCAGGGGCATGGCATTACTTATTAAGATCAGAAGAGAAGGGCACAGAAGAGGTTAGAATCAGAGTTTTTCTAAATGAGAGAATTTTAGCAGATTAAAAAGTGTTCTACAAAAAAAAAAAATGTGTTCTACAGTATGTAATGGGTTACCCTGAATAAAGAACTGAGACCAGAATCCAAATTGGAATTTTAGGAGCCTTTATTAGCCGGGCCGGCGGCTGTCAGTCTGTTCTCCACGCAGGGAGATGCTGAGCAGCCCTGAAGCAAGGAAAGTTTGAGCTTTTAAGCTTGAAAACCACATCCCAGTTGGTGCAGGTGAACAATTTCTTTTTTGCAAGGGCAGAAAAGCGGAACCTATCAGTTCCAGCAAGCAGGTGTTGCAAAGTTCAGAATGTTCTTAGACGCATACATTGTTTTCAAACTAAACTAACAATCAAGCACGGTTTCTCTTTCTTGGGTCAAACTGACATTTTCCCCTCCACCCAATAGCTCGGTAATTTTTAGCCTTTATGTGTTTACCAATTATGTGTTCACCACACAGTACAGCTTGCTTGCTTGCTTATTTACTTATTTATTTATTCCGTCCTAGGGATTGAACCCGGGGAGTACTGAAGTACATCCTCAACACTTAAATTTTTTTAAAAAAATTCTGAGATAGAATCTAGCTAAATTGTTCAGGCTGACCTGGAATTTGAGATTCTCTTGCATCAGCCTCCTGAGTCACTGGGATTATAGGAGTGAGCCCCAAGCTACATTCAGGTTTCTATAGCAGGTTGCCTTTAGTGTTGTTCTCCTAGGCTAGAACTTTGACATAATTTAAATTTTATCTAAAATAGCCTAAAACTATCCTCTTAATGATGGGTTTTCGGCCTAAATAGCAATTCTGCTAAGTCATGGCAGCAGAGAACCAATATGGCACGGTCCAAATGTGACTGTGAGGCAAGTCCCGCCTTTCTCCTTCCTGGCCTGGTTACAACTTCCTACTTCTTTCTTTTTACAACATCCTGTTTCCTTTCTCTCGCTCCCTGCCCAATCCCTATCTGCTACGTCACACAGACCACCCCAGCCAGGCCCTCACAAGTTCCCTGCCACTCTCTGGCTTCCCAGCTTTCCTGTGCCTGCAATAGAGACGTTTTTGCTTTGTTTTTTACTTGCACCAAAAAACCCCTAATGCTTACCTTGCCTTATTTCTTTTTCTTGAGTATCATTACACAGAATGCAAATCCCTGACATTTTATATTTCTTTCTTTATTGTCCTCCTCCACTCCAAATGTAAAGCCCCATGAAAAGAGTGACTTTGAGTCATTGCTGTTTGTCCAGCACCTTGAAGAGGGCCTCGCGCCAAGATCAATAAGCATTCACTCAGTGTTGGAAAGATGAAAAGTCACTTTTGATAGACTGAAGGAGTGCTGTGAATACCTTTTGGATACAACACTACACTGTAGACAGATTTTGCCCATCCCTGAGGACAATGACTTTCCACTATTTCGTATTTACCTGAAATGATACTCCATCAATGTTATCGATAAACCAGATAAAATCAGTATCAGCATACTTCTTTTAGAATTCAGTCCCTCTAGAAAAAGAAGATAAAAAGGAGTGGAATTTTCATTTTTCTAAAATAATACATGGTTTCTTTCCCATCTCCTAACAACAGTTTAACCTGTGGGAATTTGACCACCAACTTCACTCCATGTCTGGTTCACACTCCTCCTTAGGAAGAAGGCGTACTTGGGGGCAGGGACTCCTCCCATTGTGCTGCCAGAGCCTCAAAGTCTCCTGAGGAAGCACACAGATCCTGTTAGCTTAGGTGCCAGGTGTCTGTGATGTTCCTCTTGCATTCCTCTATCAAAGTCCATCCTGATTATATATATATATATAAAGATATATATTGCAAAAATAGATGATAGGGCCACTGATCTAAAAATAAATGGGCTCTCTGTAAGTACATGTTTGTAAACAGTGATTAAAAGTCTAAATTACAAATATTACACTCTAAAACAGAATATTTGGGCCCAGTTGCAGGTCTTGCCTTTTGGGTTATGCCTTACATAGATTAAAATAGAGGTGTCTGATGCTTAATTTTTGAGTACTTCTTTAATGAACAAGACCTTTTAAATCTCTACCTTATGGTACAGATTAATGTATATCTACATATACTATGTATGACAGAGGCCAAGCATGCTTCATCCCAAGGCATGCTTCATCCCATTACCTTATGGCCATTGACCTATACTTAGTGACCATGGGCAACGTTGATAGGCCAGATAGCGGAGGTTGGAGACTTAGTAGGAAAAAAGTGATTTAAGATATCTATTAATTTTTTTATGTTGATTGGTGTTGAAATGAAATTTTGGATATCATGTGTTAAATATTTTATTAAAACAAAGTTCAGGGCCGGGGATAGAGCTCAGTGGTACAGCACCTACCTGGCAAGGGCAAGGTCCTGAGTTTCATTCCTGGCACACATAAAAAAGTTCATTTATTTTTTCTTTTTGCAATATGGTTTCTAGAATATTTAAAGTGACAAATGTGTCAACATGTCTATTGGAAAGTTCATTTATAAATAACACCATGCTGGGAAGGCTCTAGTCAGGTACAATTTTAGTGTCCAGCTCTGTGAAATGATCACCTTTTAAATTCATAATCATTTGAGATGCTCTATGAAATAAGACCGTGATCCATCTAACCAGATGGTTTTCTGTCAAGGAGAACTCAGTGACATTACTCTTCAAAGTCAGTAATACATTGCTGTCACCTTTAGCCTGCAGAATATTCCAGATGTTAGTAAGAATTGCCTCCTCAGTATTTTATAGCTGGGGGATCATCCTTACCTATGATTTGTGCCATGATCGTCCACAGTTTCATATAGTTCCTTCCTGAAGAGCTACTTTACCTTTAGTTTCAAAGATGTAAAGGTGGTGCTAAGACTGGCATGCCCCAATCATATTTTTAAGACTCAAAAAAAAACAAAAAATCAAATCAGATATTGTATACTGGTTTCCTGTGGTTTGAGTCTACTACTGCTACTACTACTAGTGATGTCACCAGAGGCTTTCATGATGCAACATTAGAAAGTCACTGTCATAATGATACATTTGGTAGCAAGTTGTTTTCATTGCCACCAAGCAATAGAACCTTGTTCCATCTGAAAAATTGAAGGGTTTAAAAACATTCTTTAAGCCAGGTGTGGTGCTGCACACCTGTAATCCCAGCACTCGGGAGGCTGAGGCAGGAAGATCACTGTGAGTTCAAGGCCACCCTAAGCTATATAGTGAGTTCAAAGCCAGGCTGAACTACATAATGAGACCCTGTCTCAAACAAAACAAAACAAAACACCAAGAAGCAAACACACCAAGAAAAGCAATTGTGTTTTTACTTGCGTTTGCTGTACTCCCTTACCTTTCTTTATAAGTGATCTTTATTGATGAAGTATACTTTAGATTGGGTTTTGTATGCATATATGTATATCTACATATACTATGTATGACAGAGAAAAAGTACAACCACCTTCCTTTTTCATCCTGTTATAGACAGTTTATTTTTCTCAGGCAGAGTTAATCCTGTCTTAGAATGTCTTTAAAGTCAAAGGCTTTTCTGCATCTATTGAAATGATCATGTAATTTTTGTCTTAGCTCTGTTTATGTGATTGTATACGTTGAACCATCCTTGCATGCTTGGGATGAAGCATGCTTGGCCGTGATGTGTCATCTTTTTGATCATTTGTTGCATTCTGTTTGCCAATATCTTGTTGAGGATTTTTGCATCTATGTTCATTAAAGAGATTGATCTGACTTTCTCTTTTTTATGTGGGTCTTTGCCTGGTTTTGGAATGAGAGTAATGCTAGCTTTCAGGAATGAGTTTGGAAGTGTTCCTTCCCTTTTAATTTCATTAAAGAGTTGAGGATTATTGGTGTTATAGTCTCCCTGAAGTTATTTTGGAACTTCAATTTTATTGCCTGTTATTGGATTGTATGGGGTTTTTGTGTCTTCTTGGTTCACTTTTGGTAATTCATATGTGTCTAGGAATCTGTCTATTTCTTCTAGGTTTTCTGATTTGTTGGAGTGCAATTTTTATAGTAGTTACTAATGATTTTCTGGATTTTGGCAGTGTCCATTGGGATTTTGATTTTTTAATTTATAATTGAATTGATTCGGGTCTTTTGGTAAGTTTAGCTGATGGTTTGTCTATTTTATTTTTTATTTTTTTCAAAAAAGTCAACTCTTCAACTAGTTGACTCTTTGTATTTTTTTAGTCTCAATTTCATTAATTTCTGCTCTGATCTTTATGATTTTCTTCCTTGTACTAGGTTTAAGTTTTGACTGTTTTTGTTTTCCTAGGACCTTTAGGTACATCACTGGGTTATTTACTTGAGCTGTTTGTTTTTCTAATATGAGCATTCACAGCAAAAAACTTTGCTCTTGGGACTGCTTTTACTGTGTCCCATAAGTTTTGGTATGTTCTTCTGTGATTATTTTTTGGAATTGTTTATTTCTTCTTGATTTCTTCTGTGACCCATTAAGTGTTCGGGAGTGTAATTATAAAATTTCTGTATTTTTTGCAATTAATTTCTAGTTTCAGTGCATTATGATCTGATAGTAAACATGGGGTAATTTTGATTCTTTTGTATTTGTTTAAGTAGATTTTATATGGCCAGTATGTGGTCTATTTTGGAGAAAGTTCTGAGAAAAATGTGTATTCTACTGTAGTAGAGTAGAACACCCTGTAGATTAAATCCTTTTGTCCAGAAGTAGCAGGGCTGGGAAGGTAGCTCAGCAGCACAGTGCCTAACTGGCAAGTGCAAGGTGCTGAGTTCAATTCTTGGTACCAAAAAAAAAACCAAAACAAAAAAAACCAGCATGGATCAGCTCTGGCATTTCTGTTTTTTGTTTAGTTAATCAATGTTTAGTTAATCTCTCTGCTTGTGAAAGTGGGTACTGAGGTCCTCCACTATGATTGTGTTGATATTTATTTGATTTTTATGTCCAATAGTGTTTGTTTTATGACATTGGGTACACTGGTACTTGGTGCATATATATTTACAATTGTTATCTTTTCCTGTTGAGTTGTTCCCTTAACCAATATATAATGACCTTCTTTGCTGCTTCTGATCAGTTTCAGCTTGAAGTCCACATTGTCTGAGAATAAGATTGCTGCTCCTGCTTGCTTTTGGATTCCTATTGCATGGAATATTATTTTCCATTCTTTGTTTTTTAGTCTGTGAATTTCCTCTTGGATTAGATGTGTTTCTTGTGTGTAGCAAACCAATGACTTGTTTTTTGATCCAGTCAGCCAATCTGTGTCTTTTAATTCAAGAAATCAGAACATTTATATTGAGAGTTATTACTAGTAAGCCTAGTCCTGTCATTGTGCTATTTTCCTGCTGTTAACTTCTGTATTTTTCCTTCTTGTTCAACTGTTTGCCCTAATATATTCATCCCATAGATTTTTGGCTTTGATGGCTTTATTTTTTCTATCTAGAATGGCCTTGAGTATTTTTTATGTTAGTTTGATGGTCACACATTTCTTGGGAAGTTCTTTGTCATGCAATATCCTTATTTCTTTATCAATTTTGGAAGACAGTTTTGCAGGGTATATTAGTCTGGCTTGAAAGTTGTTTTAGAGCTTGGAACATTTCTCTCCAAGTTCTCCTGTCCTTTAAAGTTTGTGTTGAAAAATCTACTGTAATCCTAATGGATTAAAGTTTATAGATGATATTTTGATTTTCTCTGAAAGCTTTTAAGATTCTAACCTTGTATTGGACCTCTGGGATTTTGACTATGTGTCATGGGAAGCTTCTTTTTTATTGTAATTATTTGGCATTCTATAATCCTTGCCTATATATTGAATTCTTTCACCATACTTGGAAAGTTTTTGCTGTGATTTTTGTAAGCAGATTCTTTATTCTGCGTATGCCATCCTCTCATTTTTTCCTAACTCCAATTAACCTTTAGTTAGTCTTACTGTCATCTAATAACTGTTGTATAAATTTTCCTTGCTCTCTTATTGCTTTTAAGGTTTCTCTGAGTGTAATGTTTTGTGCTGCCATTCTGTCCTTGAGGTCTGACACTATCTCCTCAAAATGGTCAAATGGCTCAAATAGTTTTGTTGTTCATTTATTCAGTAGAATTCTTTATCTCTAGAATTTTTGTTGGGCACCTTTTCATGGAGTCTATTTTTTTGATAAGTTTGTCACTCATGCTTTGCATGATTTTGGTCAGCCCTTCTAATTTTTATGTGATTCTTCTATAACCACAATGGTCAATTTGTTTGTCAGTTTCCCTATATGTTTGGGTATGTCCTTTTTGACCTTGCTGAGTTTCTTTGTTACCTCTTGAATCATTTCATAGAGCTCAGCTATTTGCTGTTTGGTTTCCTCTCCATTGGTGCCCCTTGGATCTGCTTTGGGAGAGTTGGGAAACTTGGGAAGCATTTTGTTACCTTGTTTTTCATTTTCCTTTTTTAAATTTTATTTTTGTGTGGGTGCTGAAGTTTGAGGTCAAATAGAAGAAAGAGCCTTTGTCATTAGCATGAAGATCTCTTTAGTTAGTTTTTATTTGCCAGTGGTGTGATCTTGTCTTTATTTGTCAAGGGGTATTGTCTACCACTTCACACTATTCATTTGAGGTGGACTCAGTTGCTGTGTTATTATTAGCTATTAGCTATTAGCTATTAGCTATTAGCTATACAGCATCCACAGATCCAACTACACATCATGAAGATTAAAATTTGTTTTCACAATTTTCCACTTTTATCAGCACCCCACACAGACTATACTGTTATCAGTGGTTAGTCTGGGATGTGGAGGGAGAAGGAAAGAGGAAAAGGAGGGAGATAAATCAGTAAAAGGATAAAGGGATAAGAAAACTATTAGTAGGTAAAAGCTAGAAAGGAAAAGTTTTTGCACATCAAAAGAAATCACCAACAGAGGAAAAAGAAAACCCACAAATTGGGAAAAAATTTTTAGCCAACTGTCCCTCAGACAAAGGACTTCCATCTAGAACATATAAAGAATTAAAAAGAAATCAGGCCCCCAAAATACAAAGACCCAATCCAAAACTGGGGCTTCTGAGATGAATATACACTTCTCAGATGAAGAAATGCAAATGGCAAATAAATACATGAAAAAATGTTCAATATCATTGGTCATCCAAGAAATATAAATTAAAACAGCACTGAGATCCCATCTCACCCCAAAAAGAATGGCTATCATCAAGAAATCAACCAATAACAAATGCTGGAGAGGCTGTGGGGAGAAAGGAACCCTACTCCACTGCTGGTAGGAGTGCAGATTGGTGAAACCACTGTGGAAATCAGCGTGGAGATTCCTAAAACTAGGATTAGAGGTCCCATTCGACCCAACTATTCCCCTTCTGGGTATTTTTCCAGAAAAATTGAAATCATCATACAACAGTGATATATGTGCACCCATGTTTATAGCAGCATAATTTGTCATAGCTAAATTCTTGGAAACAACCCAAACGCCCATCCACTGAGGAATGGATAAAAAAGATATGGTATTTTTATACAACGGAGTATTACTCAGGTATAAAGAAAGATAAACTGGAGGCTTTTATAGGTAAATGTATGCAACTAGAGACCATACTCACAAGTGAAGTAAATTGGGACTCACATGTGTAAACATGGTATTGTCTCCCTAGTATAAGAAACTGAAAGAGTAAATAAAATCTGAAAGGTACAATAGATATCATGAAAGGGAAAGAAACTGCTTAAAAGGAAAGAACAACCGGGATGGGGAAAGGAGAAAAGAAAGGAAGGAAGGAAGAAATATACATATATATATATATATATATATATATATATATATATACACACACACACACACAAGATAGCTAAGATAATTGTACTACTAACTTCTATTGGTTTACTGAAAGGAACAGTTAATGCTTAATTTGTTGATCAATTTTGCATGCCTATATCTGGTAATCTAAACAACTACTTTGAAGATAACAATATGCAATATAACAACCATAGTTAATTTCCTATTATTTTGTTTTGAAATTCTGTATCATTTTTATTATTTCTATTTTTTGTTCTCTTTTAAAAAACTAGAAAGGAGATCAAACTCTGTTTGAGGTATTTTTATGGCTGAAATAAAAGGTTACTACTGAAGGAGTTTAAGAGAATATTTGTGGAGGCGGAGGAAGGACGTAGGGGGAGGAAAGTGTAATTAGAGAAGGAAGGAAGCTGTAAGGTCACTGGAACTTGTTAATATATTTGTGGTTTTGTTTGGATCCTCTAAGCACAGTTCTGTTAAGGGTTATCCCAACATTTTTATGAATGGTACCATCCAAGTTAAAGCATTGGTCTATTATCATTTTATTTTGTACATATGCAGGATATATATATATATATATATATATAGCAGTGAGAGAAAACAAGAGGATAGGAAAAGAGGAAGTGAATAAAAAACAAGATTAGGAAGAAAAAAGAGAAAAGTGAGAGAGAGAGCAGAATAAAGGAAAATATTTTCTAAAATAAAAATGATACTAATAAAGAACCAAGAACCAAAGAAAAGAGAAAAGTAAAAAGAATACCTAGCAAGAATGCAGAGCAGACAAACAAGCAACAAAACAAAAAATTCCCACTCGGCTCTGTACCATAAACGCTAGTCATAGTGTCTACCCAGCTCCCTTCCGAGTCTGCCTTCTCAGAACATCCCCACCCCCAGGCCGCAGGCTGCTTAACCGGCTGCCTAGGAGTGATGAGGGCTGCCAGTCTCTGTGAGCCTCCAGCTGTTAGAAACACTCCCACGATTTCAGGTTCCCAGGATAAAGAGTGTTGGGGGAGGTGTGGACCAGCAGTGGCCCCACTAACATTTTGCAACAACCCTGACTTTTGGTTTAATCTAGAGGATTCATCTTTCAGATTTAATCTTCCGCATCTGGTGTGACTGGCTCCCTTATTTTAGACAACCTGTGTTATCTCATCTCTCCTCCAAGTGTCTCCAACGCACCTCCTTCTCTAGTCAGCCATTTTGGAATCCTGCAGTTAATCTGCATAGTTTGAACATCATTGCGTTCATTATACCTCATACCAAGGTGGCTCATCCTTTCTCTACGGTTGAACTGTATTTTACTACATGAATATATCATAATATATTTAACCTATTTCCTATTGCTAGCCATTTTGTTTATCTTAGCTATTATAAGAAACACCACAAGGAGATGCTTGAACGTGCTGAATAAGCACATGTTGAACAACACTGCAGGTTAATTTCCTAGAGTGTGATTATCAAAAGCCGTTTGCTTTCACCTGGCAGAGACATCAGTAAACCTCAGAGGTATGTTAGTTCAGAACACTTGAGCATCGGGACATCTTGCACAATATCATTGTTGACATCATGCCAATTGGGTCATTTGAGCAGAAAATGGCAAGAATCCCAGATGTCATGTCAGTACAAGTGTCTATCAAGGGATGGAAAAAAAGCCCCACAAAAACTAAGGGACCTTACACTTTGAGAAGCATATAAGCAAGCATGTCTGTCTAGGCCAGATCCTGTACCTTTCACCATTTTTGACTAAATCAGGGGTGCCATGTGCAATGGGACTCTGGATATTGGAAGCAAAATGTACTGCATTCGGATGTGACACTCAGACAATTCATTGAGCAACTGATAATCTCGTCAATTTTAAGTACGTGTAGAACAAGAGAAAGTTCTATTATAAGGTCCGGTCTGTGGGCAAAGTCTGTGTCATCTAGCATATTTAAGTGACAAATACAAACCCTGGATGGAACATTCTACGTGGTTCAGGTAGAGGATAAATACCCAATATATGGGAAATTTACTTGAACTATGACCTTCCCTGAACTTAAAACTCTCTGGTTCATCAAAATAAAGCTTGGATTGTGCACCTACAAGCCATTGAAATGCAAATAAATACCTTATATAAGTTAGGACTTGGGCAGACATGGAAAAATTCATGACAAGAAAGCAAGTCTTGGGCTGGGGATTTAGCTCAGCAGCACAGCGCCTGCCTGGCAAATGCAGCGTCGTGAGTTCGATTCCCAGTACCGGAAAAAAAAAAAATAAGAAAGCAAGTTTTTTACATGTTTCTGAAGTTTAAGGGTTTATGTGACCATAAGCATGTTCACTAAAGAGCAATGTCAGCAGAAGAGGCTCTAAATAGTCAAGAAAAGTGACCTTCCTAGGGTCAGCTAGCCTCTTCCTGTGGCTCTCACAGTGCTCGCTCAATGGACCTGTGTTTAAAGGTTTTGTTGACAGGGATGAAGTCTGTGCCTGACCTCAGTAAATCTAGCATTCCACTCATCAAGGATGACCTAGCTGTCTCCACTGCTAATATCCAAACTGCCAGCAGCAGAGGTCACCCTGAGTACCTCCCATGGCATCTTTCTTCTGAGGGGCCATCTGGCTAGTGATGATACACTGGTTTGCTGCATCATGGAAAGGTAAGTAGTATTCTGGGTACAGATTTTCTTTCCTTTTTTTACACTTCTCCCAGTACCATGTGGACTTATGCTTTATCCATTGCTCTGACTAGGAGATACGCTTGTTGTGAAATAGATTCAGTGAAGGTCTGATGCTAATGAAACCCACTGGGCAGGCCATGCAACTCATGACTTACAGCTGTGAATGACCTGGAAGGCTATGCCATGTGCTTAGGTTGCTGTCCTACAGGACGTGCCTATGGCTGGAAATAGTGGACACTCTGCCATACCCTCCTCCCATAGCCAGAATGCACGAGGTAGGGAAGTGAAGCCTGTTTTACAATTACATCAAATAACCTACTGCTTTTGCTTTCATACCTGCAGGCTTGGGTTCAGGGGCTTTGGAGAGACTAGTGTATAAGGAAGAAATGCTCCATTAGGAAACACAGCTGTGATCCCATGGAACTAGAACTTGAGACTTACCCTGGATCCTTACATTCTCATTATCTAAATCCACAGCCATGGAAGGGGTTTTTGGTATTGGATTGGAGGACTGACCACAATTAGCAAGAAGAAAGTTGGTCACCATCATATAATAATAGAATGGGGCTGAGTTTTCAAGGTGTTCACCGGAAGTCTCTTAATACGTACCATTGTCCAACAGCTCTTTTTAAGGGAAAACTGTGGCAGTCCATTTCAGAAGGACTTACCAAGGACTCAGGTTCTCCAGGGAGGAGGTTTATGTTCTCACCAGTCAAAGAACCCTCTCTAGTTTCTAGCAGAAGGTAAAAAATACACAATGCGTGGTAGAATTAAGCAGTGATAGATATAAACTTGACCTATGACCAGTTACAGAGATGAGGATTGCAGCAGATATGCGTTTTTTCCCTGTCTATAGTATAAATATAAAATTACATTATATATTTTGTGTATTACTATGTATCTTCATATGATAACCAATTAACCTATTTCTCCTATTATTTTTATGAGTACTAGTTTTTTAAAAACTTAATTTAGATCAGGGTTCAAACTATGAGAAGTCACATATAGTGCTAGTAGAGAAGACCTCTATCCTCTGGGGATCCTGGACATGGGGTGGGAAGGTGGGGGCAACTTGTCAGCTGGTATTTGCTATTTTGCCTTTAGGGGAAGAAAGCGATTATTCCTTTGTCCAAAAGTAATTGAACTCTGCCAGGCGAAAACATGAAATCATTCTGAGAGGTAGGGACAGGAGGGTGGGAAGGGTGCTCCCTGGTAACGCGGGTGGATTGCGGTAGCCATTGACGTGTCTACTCTCTGCTCATTGTGGCAGGGTCCCGCATTACAAAGACTCTGAGTTTGGGTATATAAATGCATATAAAATAGGTATGTTTTCAAAGGGAAAATAAAGAACAACTTTCAAATTTCTCTCTTTATATTTTTATTTTCCTTAGTTTCTGTTTAAAAAAACAACTTTGTAGTTGTAAAGCAGAGTTCTTTTTGAATGACGCATAGTTTTCTAAGTAACTACCCATCTGCTGGCAGCTTTGCCATCTTCCAAGTTTTACCTATAGGCCATATTTCTATAGTTGCAGAGATTTTCCTTTCCTCACACCTACAGACAATCCTTTTCTTAAGTGACACGAGGAATTTATATCTATTTGGATCAGTTAAAATACTTTAAACTTCATTTGCTTGTGGTAGAATCTATTCTATTCTGATATAATCTAACAAATATTTCCTCAACATTCACACAAGTTGTCAAATTACTACATCTCTGTCTGATTTTAGTAAACATATTCTGGAACTACCTAAATCCCCATTATATGATCCAAAATTAATATGATGAAAAGTATGAGTCTGTTATATTGATGAGCTTATCAGTTTGATAGTGATCTTGTAGGGCCACACTCTGTGATAATTTTCTAAAGAATCGGGCAAAATGATGCTCTGAAATTTGGGCATATGAAGAGCTACAAAATCAGTTACTTTCTCTAAGAGGTCTATAACTCTTAAAATTCCAAGAAAGCCTGACATTTTTAATATAGGGAGGCATTCCATGAAGGTAATCCCAGCAGTATTCTGGGGATAAGATTTTAGTGGGTTTATGGAGAAAGAAATATTTGTTTAAGTGGCTTTCATCATGCCACACTGCTTCAATATTATTTTTCTTGTCATTCATGATTCCCTTGGTGCACTCCCTGACGATATTGAGAACCTGGATGGGAGTGCCACCAAAAACAGCGGCATGGTAATAAAAGTCTCCCTTGCCCTTAGGCATATAAGCTTCTGATAAGTTATTTCTTTCATAAGGAAACATGTGAGGAACTGCCCAGAACCAAAAATTGTGTAACTGAGCTACAGACTCTCCCAGAGTCTCCACACCATAACTGCTTCTGAAGACTTGGTCCACATCCATGCAAAAGAGGAAGTCGACTTCATACTGGATATGATCCACAATGTGGTCTCTGATGGTTTTCATGCGCATCATACTGACGTCTTGCCATCTCTTCTCTCTCCCAATTTGAAAAATTTTGAATGTATGGTGACGACCCAGATATACCCAGGGCACAGCAGAGAAGTTGTCTGTCATGACATAAATGATGACCTTCTGGCCAGACATAAAAAACTTTTCAGCAGATATTAAAAATCTGCCCAGATAGCGTTCAAGATATCTGTGAGGTAAGAAAAAATGATTAAGTTCATCTTTTTTATATTTTAGTTTTTTAATTAAAAAAATTTTTTTAAGCCAGGCATGGTGGCTCATGCCTGTAATCCCAGCACTCAGGAGACTGAGGCAGGAGGATTGTCATGAGTTGGAGCTCAGCCTGAAATGCATAGCAAGACTGTCTCAAAAAGATAATAAATATATATATATATATATATATTTTGATGCTGAGAATTCAACCCAGACCCTCATGCATGCTAGGCAATCACTCTACTACCAGGCTAAATGCCAGAGTCCTGGCCTTACATTTTAATGGAACTATCTAAATCACATGGTTGTAGCCTATCCAGCAATGCTACTAAGCAACTAAATATACAATATGCTTTGTGGGTGTGGGTGTGTGTGGTGCTAGGGATTGAACCCAGGGCCTTGTGCATGCAAGGCAAGGGCTCTGTCACTGAGCCACATCCCCAGCCCTATAGAATGCTTTTTACATAGCATAGGAAAAAAGAAAATTATCTACCTTTCCTCTCCCTCATGGGGTTCTACACATCATAGAACACAGAGGAATTCCTCAAGAGAGGGACCACTGAAAACTGAACAGAGCGCAGGTAGATATGAAAGCCAGAGCTGCATATTGAGACCCTGTCTCAGAAAGACAAAAATAAAAATTAAAAATTAAAAGAAATACTCCCTCTGGGTTTGAACACTCTTGTCCCATCGTTCTTGCCACTTTCTGAAGCAGTTCTGGACATCCCCTTTCATGTCTTAAGTTGTGCTGTTGTGGCTGCCTCATTGTCCTGAGTTGATTTAAAACTTTCACCTTTTACGTTCACCATGACTTTGGGAAAGAGCCAGAAGTTGCATGGCGCCAGATCCAGTGAATAGGTGGATGAGGACACACTGTAATGTTTTTAGGAGCCTGCCTTTCCATTGGAAGGCACGTGGCAGCAGCATCCGCTGTATTTTCGTCGTACCTCCTAAAGACACTCATGACAGTATCTTCCAGAACTGCTTCAGAAAGTGGCAAGAATGACGGGACAAGCGTATTTGAAGTGAGGGGGAGTGTTTTGAGGGGGATAATGTAAAGTGTCTTTTGGTACAGTGAGTTTTTGAAATTTAAAAATTCACTGTATATTTTGATAGCCCCTTGCATTTATTGGTTCATTTTTCTTGCTTGGTTTGTGTTTAGTTTGTTCTTCCCTATCTAATTCCTTAAAGGAGAAGTTTATCTTATTAATATGAGCTTTTAATTCTTTTTAATGTAGGCATTACAGCCCTCTGAGCACTGCTTTTGGTCCATCTTATAAATTTTGAGATACTGTGCTTTTATTCATCACCTCAAAGTAGTTTTTGATTTTCCTTGTGATTGTGTCTTTGACCCACTGGTGGTTAAACAGTGTGTCATTGAATTTCTACTTATTTGTTAACTTCTCCAGATTTTCTTCTGGAATTTACTTTAAATTTTGTTCCATGTGGTCGTAGAAAAAACTTAGTTTAAAATTTAAAAATGCATTGCAGCTTTTGTGATTTGGATGTGTTCTGTCCCAGAGAAAGTTCCGTGTTCACTTGAGAAGAATGTGTAATTGCTGAGGGGACCGTTCTAGACGCGCTTTGTACAGCACTAAAATTATATATCAGAGAAGAGAGTGAAAGGAAAAGGAGTGTGGCACTGTTTAAATCATAATATTAACGAAAAATCTGCTGAGCTTGGGCAAAGATATATGCCATGAATAGACTTGTCTCTGCCAAGCAACACTGCCAGGGCGGAAGGGGACACCTGCGTGGGTGCCATGACAGTCTGTTTATATTCCTAGATCACAGTACGCTAGTTAGGGGGTCATCTATTGGTATTTTTTTTTAGGACCCTTCACAGATTATAAGTATGCATCAAATTTGATGTCTTCCCTATGTTTGGTAAACAATCTTCAAAGTTACGCGTCTGATTTGGAATACTTCCTAGTTTCATTGAACTTAAACCTTCTTTTCCTTTTTACCTACAGTTTGTTACTTTCGTAGGCTTTCACAAGACAGGTAATCAGTGCAATAGCTGTACACTTCCATCTTTAAGTGGAAATAGCTCCTAGCAATTTTTTTTAGGGGTCTACCTTAGTGATTCTGATTTTCTATTTGATTAGGAATGAAGCAGAAATTGGCTTTTGTTTTAAAATTGCTAAGTGGTCTTAGGTACTCTTTTATTCTTTTGTATCCTTATTGGTGGTCAGAAAATACCGCATGCAAACAGTCTGCTGGTAACCATGGTTACCTTGTTTTGTTATATATTGCACCAGTGCTCCTGTGAAGTATCAGTAAGCATAGCAAAGCAGTTTTGTCTGGAAGCAGTTTAGTGTTCGAGAGAGCACAGGATGGAAGAGCAAATTATTAGGTTAATCTGGTACGGAGACGGTGGACACAGGGGATAACAGAGGCACACACCTGTTTTACAAAGATGGCAACAGACCCAGGAAATTAGGTCAGCACTGGGAGAAGACTGTAAAATCAGAGAACAGAAAAGAAACTGAGGGACTGAGATTTCTTCTCTTGAGTGGACCAAGGTGATGATATTTAGAATTATGGCAGGAATTTGCCTAGAAAGAATAAATTATTAGGTGCAATTGTAAAGTGCAACCCAAAGTTGCCATTTTCTCTAACCAAAACCTGAATGTAAAGGACATTTGACATCATGACCTACCTTCCTACAGCAAATACAATCAGCCCCACAGTAATATTATGGTCTGCATAATACTTTTTCAAGACTGATTCATCATAAGTATCATGCCACATAATTGGAGCTGACCACTCAGTGATAGTTAAGTTCTTCTTCACCAATTCTACTATCTGTCTGTAGGGAAGACACAGAATTTTTAAATAAAATACATCATCATAAAACACCAGGAGGCGTTACTAAAGCATAAGTCCTTCTGTCTGATTGTAGCATCTCCTTACATCTAACAATACCTTGATGAGCTAATAAACTCAAGAAGTAACATATTGGAAACGGCTAGGTCATTACAAAAGTAAACTTACAGACTAGTTATGTTGTGCTTCCAAAGTCTTTGAAGATATATAGTTAAAATGTCTCTTAAAATCTAAAGTAACAATTTCTTTAGTCAAAAATCTCCTGGGCTTAGATTTTGTTTGTTTGTTTGTTTTTTCCGGTACTGGGAATCGAACTAACAACCTTGTGCTTGCCAGGCAGACGCTGTGCCACTGAGCTAAATCCCCTGCCCCCTGGCCTTAGATTTTTTTTTTTATTTTAAAAATAAAAGGAGGCAAACATCAATAGACAGACAACCTTTTACAAAATAGCAAAAGAACAGTGCAGATGATACAGAGTTACAAACAAAGTGGTAGGAAATTAACAATGTTTGTTGTATTACATATTGATATCTTCAAAGTGGTTTCTCATGAAAACAGATAGAGACATGCAATATTGAACAATCAAGGACTCATTGACAGTTTCTTTCAGCAAAGAAATAGAAGACAGTAGAACAACTATGTTAGCTATCCT